GGAGCAGGGAGCCCGACGCGGGGCTCGATCCCAGGACCCCGAGAGATCATGAACTGAGCCAAAGGCTGACAGTTAACGACTGAGCCACCCAGGCGCCCCTAGAGACTAGCTTTAATAAAGTTATTCTTAGATTAAAATATGACACTATAGATCAACGTATCAATGAAAGCATACTAATAAAAATCACACATTAGGTGATTTCCATTCTGTTGTGTCTATCCAGAATTCTAATTTGCATTATTATTACTGGCTATGCTATGGAATAAATTCGGTTAATAACAGATTGAATATACTATTTAAAAAAATATTTAAAAACAGACATGAGCAGCCATTTGTTAAAGATGCACCTAATGAAGAATGTCTGCGTGGCTCAGTCAGTTAAGCCTCTGACTCTTGATTTCAGCTCAGGTCATAATCTCAGGGTCATGAGATCAAGCCCAACATCCAGCTCCACCTTGAGGGTGAAACCTGCTTGAGATTCTCTCCCTCTCCTTCTGCCTCTGTCTCTGTGTGCATGAGCATGTGTGTGCTTGCTCTCAAAAAAAAAAAAAAAAAAACCATGTATCTTATGAGTTCAATTAGTTGACCTCTAAAAGATTCCATGACTTAAATTGCATAATTACATCAGAAAAATACTGCTATTATATTTACCAATGTTAGAGATATGAGACTGCTTTAAGTATCATCCTCAAAGAATTACTCATGGATGTGTGAGTGCTGTATTTCCATAGAATACTAAGAAAATAACAAGTGTCACCAAAAACATACATTAAAGGTTGATTTTATTTTGAAAGGCATATAATATACTCTAGGTATTTTTCTAGATGTAAGAATTATAAATCGAAATACCCAATGTCTTGCAGAAACTCTTGAATTGTATCAGATGACCATAAATCAATACAAACTAAACTCAAAAACTATGCTTCAAGTTTCTAAATTACTTTGCTCAAAAAAAATCTAGTAAGGGGCACTGGGGTGGCTCAGTTAGTTAAGCATCTGGTTCTTGGTTTCAGCTCAGGTCATGATCTCAGGGTCATGAGATCAAGCCCTGTTTTGGGCTCCGCGATCAGCGGGAATCTGCTTGAGATTCTCTCTCTCCCTCTCCCTGTGTCCCTCCCTGACTCGAGCTCATTTGCTCTCTCTCAAATAAACAAATCTTAAAAAAAAAAAAAAAAAAAATTTTTTTAGTAAGAACTTATTATGTACCCAAAACTCAGCATGACAAACTTGAAGGCAAACAAATGGAGAAAATATTTGTGGTAACAAAAGATTAACGTCCTTAACATATAAAGATGTCTTAAAATTTTTTTTTACAAATTAGTGGGGGTGAAACATACAAAAAAAAAAAAAACATGAAAGGCAACTGATGAAGCATAAACAGCCAATAAACAGGCAAAAATGTTAAAGTTCCCCAATAATAAATGAATGAATACCCTCCAAAACTTTGCTCATTTGATAAAATGATATCCCAGTATGAAAGAAGTATGGAAAACCTGATACTCATACAATGCTGGTACAAGAGCACTTATGCAATATATAAAAAAAGCCTTAAATAGTTAACATTCTTTAACCTAACAACTCCACTTCTAGTACTTCTGCATAAGGAAGGAATTAGAAATGGGAGCAAAGATTTCTATGTAACAGGAAAAAATGAGAACCTAAACACTTGACAATAGGGGATTAGTTAAATCATGGAACATCCATACAAAAATACTTAGTAATGAAACGAAATAATCATATAGAAAAAAACCACTGTAGGAAAATACACACAATACATTGTTTGAAAAAAGTTACAAAGCTGTCATGTATATAACCTCAATTTTATCAAGACACTTAATACTATATAATATACACAGAAAAAAAGACTGGAAGATTATATAGCAGAATACTAGTAAATAACTTACCAACTTTACTCACGGTAGTATTACTAGTATTTTTTTTCCTGTTTCCTTTTCAGAGCTGTCCTAAATTTCTGTATCTATGATTCTTTTTCTTTACTATATTTCTTTTCTATTGGACTGATAATTTTCTATCTCCTGCCCCAATTTATAAGTTAAAAATTGCATTTTTATTCTCTTGATACTTATATCAAAATTTAAATTTCTGCAAAAAAAACTAAAACTATTCTCTCTAAAGATTATCCTAAAAATGACAAGGACCTTTACCCACACCTGGATTCCTTTGTTTTCATGTTTAACATTCCATTTATTCTCCAACAATATAAACATTAACTACCAAGAGTAACTGCTATATATTAAAACACAATTGATAAAATGAGCTCATAATGATATTCCAAAAAACTAAGGAGAATCTCTAATAGAAGCTAGGCGACGAACTCATTCCAAAAACAGATAAACAAAAGGAATGAATTTAATAGTTTATCCTGCCTTTCTTGTACAAACTGTACTTTTGGGTAACCAAATAGTTAATGAGGGAAAGTGTTTTCTGGAAGATTCAAAGCTGTAACACAAAAGGATTCAGAAAATTAGAAAAGTCACCACTTTACAAACCTTAATGAAATAATGAATCCAAATGACAATGAAAAGCTGGTAAAACATTAGTTGAGAAGCAGAGAGTTGGAGGCACATCAAGCAATAAAATACACAGTCCCTGTTTGAATCCTAATTTGAACAAATTCTAAAAAGGCCTTTAAAAAAGTTTTTTAAAATTTATTACTGAAGTATAATTGACATACAATGTCATATTAGTTTCAGATGTACAACATACTGATTTGACAATTTCATACATTATTCAATGCTCATCACAGTAAGCGTAGCACCATGTGACACCATATGTTATTACAGTACTCCTATTTTATACTCCCTATGCTGTACTTTCATCTCTGTGGTTTATTTATTTTATAACTGGTAATTTGTACCTCTTAATCCCCTTCAACTATTAAAAAGACTTTTTTTAATCAATTGGGGAAAACTAAACATTGCAAGGATCTTAGGTAATATTAAAAGATTACTAGAAATTTAGGGTATAGTAAATAACGGTACCGTGCTTATATTTTTAAAAATCCTTATTCATCAGAGCAGGTCTCAAACATTTAACTCTTCTAAACTCATGATCACTTTAACTCTCAAAAATTGCTGAGGATGTCAAGGAACTTTTGTTCTGTGAAATATACCTATTTGCCAGAGGACAGGGTGAGGGAGAATGGCTATGAAGTAGCACATGGGAACTGATAGGAGTGATGAAATGATACTACATCTTGAGTATGGTGGTGATTACATAACTGCATGCAGTTGTCAAAATGCAGAATTATGCATTAAAAAGGATGAATTTTACCGCATGTAAATTATGTCTTTATAAAAAATGGGAAAACTTGGTTAAATATTTGAGGACCTCAAAGGGCCTTTGTTTACATAAGTATATATATCCATATTACCATATCAGGCATCAAAATTGGGAAAATTTTAAAGCTGTATTTATTAATTTTAAAATAACAAACTCATTAAATATTAACAAAAATAACATTTTAATGGAAAATAGATTTTCAAAAAAGTAAGCACAGTAGGAAGTTTTTGCAAATCTCTTTAATATCTAGCTTATTAGGAAACAACTAGATCTTCATATCAGCTTCTGTGTTCAATCTGTAGTGTTATCACATATTGTGTAGCCTCAGGAAAATTCCACTGTACACACTATATGTGCGGTGAGAGTAAAAAAGGCAAATAACATCTTAGTATTATTATGAAAATAGCTTTGACCTCACAAACCCCCATGAAAAGGGTACCAGGGGCTCCCAGACCACACATGGAGCGTTCCATCAGTATTTTTGGGTAAAATTTTACAATTCTGAAATTCTATTTTAAAATACTCCAGCAAGAGGGACACCTGTATGGCTCAGTCAGTTGGTCTTGGAGTTGTGGGAAGAACCCCATGGAGGGCCATGCTTGACAAGGAGTCTGCTTGAGATTCTCCCCCTTTCCCTCTCCCTCCCCCCAACCCCGCCTCCCATTTCCCCACGTGCACACACCTTCTAATAAATACTATCTTAAAAATAAATAAATAAAATACTCCAGGAAGAATAAAATTTTAAATAGCAGAAATAGAGGAAACAAGAATGACAGAATACTGACAAATGCTGAAGCTGGGAGGTGGTTACATTAAGGTTCATTATACATTTTTCTGCTTGTATGTATTTTTGAAATTTCCTATAACTTTTAAAGTTACAAGTATTTTATTGTCAGTTAAACTGTTAATTCTGGGTGCCTGGGTGGCTCAGTCAGTTAAGTGTCTTGCCTTTGGCTCAGGTCATGATCTCAGGGTCCTTCCGCATAAGGCTCCCTGCTCAGCAGGGAGTCTGTTTCTCCCTCTCCCTTCCCCCCTGCTCGTGCCCTCTCTTTCTCAAAATCTTTTTTAAAAATTAAAAAAATAAACAATTTTTTAGCCACTTTTGTGATCACTATTATTTCCTCATTTCCCATTCATTTCCTCTGGAAACATTTTTCCACTTAATCCTTCAGTAGTTAAGTTTAGTAAGGGTCTTTGAATAGTAAACTCTCAGGCCTTGAATCAAAATGTCTTCATTACATCCTAACTCTTGAGTAGAAGTTTAATGGCATATAGAATTCTTGGCCGCTGGTTATTTTCTGTTGGTACTATGAAGATATTACTAAACCATCCTCTGGGATCTGTGTGTGTGGCTGATGACAAATTTGTAGGTCTGTAATTTCTTTGTAAATAATTTGTCTTTTCTTTCTGCTAAATGTAAGATTACCTTTCTCCATAATTTTAGGGGTGAACTTATTTCTGTTTATCTTAATACTTGGAAGTAAGATTTTCATCTGCAAACTGTATTTCTTCAACACAAGAAAATTCTCATCCATTATCTCAACAAATACTGCTTCTCCTGCCATTCACTCTATTCTCTTTTTCTAAAATTCCTACGTTGGTAGCTCTCAATCTATTTTTCACGTCTCCTGACTACTCGTTCATTATCTCTATGCTGTATTTTGGGCAAATTCCTTAGTATATTACTACTGACTCACTCTTTTTCTAGGTCTAGCCTAAAAGTTGTCCTGTTTCCTCCCTCCCCCGGCCCCTCCACAAATTTCTCTATTTCATCCAAGACAATACTGACAAGACACACCACTACCAGTAAAAAAGAAAAAGCACTGTCAATTAAACATTGACATGGATTGTAAGATGTACTCCAATTTCAGAAATATCAAAATGTTCAACAATGTGTGTTTTAGAAGCAAATGTTTCTCATTTCTAATTGCTTCTTTTACATATCTACCCTCCTTTTACAACTTTTCTAAAAATGCTACAGCTTTATCTCATTGATAATTATAAACATACTAATTAAACTCTTCAATAGGTTGTTCTTTCTTTAATATGACATGAATTCATTTCCAAACTGTTGTTTTATTGGCTATCTTTCATAGATTTTATGTTTATCAGGTATTTTGGAATTTTGGTTTTCAGGCTTATCTTGAGTAAAATTTTTCTCTGTATTACAGCTCCATGTCTGGAATTTTTACAAGTGCTTCCACCAAGTCTCTCTGGCCCCAGTGCAGATCCATGTCTTATACTGGCTTTAGAGAAAATACTGGAGATATCACAAATCCGGACACTGAGCTAACAATTCAATGGTTCAGACCGGTTCAGATGCTGATCACAGATTCTGTTCCTGTCCTATTTCCTTGTGTCCTCTTCTCATTTCTGTAAGTATAAGTCTCATTTAAGCCATACCTTGGAGTAAGAGAGCAGCACCATTTTTTTTTTTTTTAAAGCTCCCCTCTAACACAAGGGAGCCCTATTCCAGCTTGGTTTTAAGCAGTGAATCTGATCCTTGGCTCTTCCTCATGTGGGGTTACTTTTATCTATATTAATAGATAATTAAATACGCTATAATTCCTGACCTAAATACTTAGCAGATATGTTCATCCTATTTTTTTTAAAAAAAAAAGTTACTAAAATTGAGCAGGATAAAAGAACTGTACAGGCAATATAATTATAATAATATTAAAAAAACGCCTATGACACCAAGTTTGATTCCTGAGAGATTAGAGATTTCCACTTTCTACATTAAAATTTCCATACCAAACATGTATCACTTTATAAGCAGATAAAGCAAACTTTAATAAAGTACAGGAAATACATAATTATGATAACACTAAAATCGAATGAACAAAAAAATATTGTTGGGGAAAAATCAGAATATGAGTGATTTTCCCAAGCTCTGAAATAAAAATTTAGTGAAAGACCATGGCATGCATGTACAGGGTACAGATTCCCAACTGAAGAACTCAGAACTAGAACAAAGCAGGGTATAATGTACAATACCTAACTAAAAGGTCCTCACATTATACTGAATAATAAAACTTTAAGGTCTACATAAAACAATAGCTAGATTGGACCCCTATTTGTGTAAGAGGGCTAAAAGATCTACCAATCACTTTAAATCATCATGGGTCACAGACATGCACATTTTTTCCCATTCTTTCTTTAGCTCTAAAAAGACTGCATTTCCATCATACACCACTTTTCAAGCAGTAGGTTTGGCCTTTTAGCAGTATTTATACATTCCTATAAGCAGGCAGTTCTGACATGTGATTCCTTAGACAAAACCAAAAACCATTACTTTTATTTTGTTAGAATCGCCAATGAAGTTGTTCCAGAAGACACTCGCCCCACTTACCATGAAAAAATAGGCTAGTATCTTTCTCCAAAAAATGAAAAAAAAAAAAACAAACCCATATTGATGCAAATTAAACAGCAGAACATCCAATCAGTGTAGTACAGAAAAACGACAACCAGAAAACCAAAAAACAAAACAAAAACAACCAAAACCCTAAAGGCTGTTGTGAAAGCCTTGGGCCAGTTTCCTTCCCTACCCAAATGTTAGAATAGTAACAAGATTACTGCAAGAAAGAATTTCGTAACTAAAAACACCTAAACAGTAGCTGACATCTCTCTCTCTCCGTTTTGCCCGTTAATACTTAAATTAACTATAAGAGTTTTAAAAATCCAACTTTTTGTAATGCTTCCATTCACTATTAATTTTAAAAAGCACAGCTACCAATTAGTTCACAACTATGCAGTTTTCCAAGGGTAATGGGAAATTCCAAACATGAGGTTTTTTTGCTCTAAAGAAGTAATGATTTCCATAAACTTTTCTTCCTACCTCAAACACCTGACTGAATTTCAAATACACCCAGTCTTAAAGGATAAATTTGTATTCATATAGAACAAAATCTGGTAAAGAACTAAAATTTGAGAGACTGAATAAGTCTTGGTTTGAACTTTGGGGAAATTTTCTGACTAGAAAAAACTTTAGAAAGATACATAAATCCATACTTTGTCTCTTCCCACCCATTTTCAAATACACAGCAATGGTAGACAAAGTAAAACTTCAAAAACAGAAGTTCTCTAAATCAACATGCATTTTTTCAGTGAAAAAGAAACAAATATTAACAGTGAGTGGGGTTGGAGCTTGGGGCATGATGAGCTGCTCTACCTTCCAAGGAAAATGGGGATCTGGTTTCTAAGGGGTAAGAGGCACTAAACATACCCATCACGAGGAGGGGTCCAGAGTCAGACTCACCGCCTTAAACAGTTTAAAACTGCCTCTGAAGCAGAGGTCATTTTTGTTAAAGGGGAGCTTAAGAAAAACAAAAAGTCAAAGAAATTCCAGAGTCCCAGTAAAAAAATCTGTGTCTTCTCATTCATTGTGAAAATTATTATATTATTTCCATACTTATCAAATACAAAAATTCAAACCAATGATGAAAAGTTTTAAGCATTTCCTCTGGGCATACTATGCTCTAACACAGACAAAAAACCTTTATTCTTAGTTTCAGGTAAAACACATCCTAAAATAATTTATCTGGCTTCTTGCCAATTAAAAAGACAGTACACCAAGGGGCATTTTCCTCTTACCAAATCTTCCCAAAATTAAAATTTCCAGGTTCCATTACTAAATATGCCACTGTATACTATGCAGCATTTATTCTCATTCTTTAACTTTTATTTTCTCAATTTTTTTCCCTATTCCTTTAAAACTGGGACAAAATTCACATTTAATGGCGTTCTGGAGTACTTCCTTATTTTACCCTTCCTTGTCACCATTCAATAAACTAAATTACCACTTTAAAAAGTCCATTTTAGGGGCGCCTGGGTGGCTCAGTCGGTTAAGCATCAGATTCTTGATTTCAGCTCAGGTCATGATCTCAGGGTCATGAGATCGAGCCCCGCCTTGGCTCTGCACTGGATGTGGAGCCTGCTTAAGATTCTCTCTCTCCGGGGCGCCTGGGTGGCTCAGTCGGTTAAGCGACTGCCTTCAGCTCAGGTCATGATCCCAGGGTCCTGGGATCGAG